AAGAGAGAAAATAAAGCTATGGCCTCACTCACATTTTAGTTCCAAAGCCAATGAGCTATTGATGGAATAATCTTTACATAGCCTACACTACTACAGGTACCTGCACAAGCATTGTCCTCGCTCTGGTCAGCAGTATCACTGGTAGCACCTCTGTCTGCTGAATCTGTTCTCATTTCTGAAAACGTACAAAATAATGTTANAAAGAGAGAAAATAAAGCTATGGCCTCACTCACATTTTAGTTCCAAAGCCAATGAGCTATTGATGGAATAATCTTTACATAGCCTACACTACTACAGGTACAAGCATTGTCCTCGCTCTGGTCAGCAGTATCACTGGTAGCACCTCTGTCTGCTGAATCTGTTCTCATTTCTGAAAACGTACAAAATAATGTTAAGCCATAGCCTACTGTGAATTAAATATTAAATTAAATTTTATAATAAAGCTGATTCTGATAATCCTATTATTGCTTTTACAAATGTAAAACCTAACTGGGCTACTGAAAAATGACTTTCTAGAATGAAATTCTAAAAATGTATTATTTTTATTTTTTTTTTAAATGTTCAATACTGTATAGAGACATTCTCCACATAGCCTACAGGTACCTGCTCTTTCATTGTCCTCCCTTTGGTCTGCTGCAGGATCCCTGAACACATCCCTATCTGCTATCATACCTGAAAATTAAATGTAAACATAACATTTTATAGCTTATTTATGAATGTACGTATAGTCAATATTGGTATCCCATTGCAATTAATACAAATAATTATGGGCAAAGTTGCCACTAACTTATGGCATTTTCACATGCCCAAACACTGGACCAGTTACGCCTCTCTAGTGTAGCATAAAAAAGACATATCTGAAATATTTTATTTTCCTGCATAATCGCCCAACTTTTCCTCTATTTTGCCCATCTGTCCAGCTTCATTTAAACCCAACCAGCGTTGGGGAACAACATGTTAACCTGTCCTAATGCTACCACCTAGTGGTGGAGAGACACCTTGAATAATCACACAGTGATTTTAAGAAACAAGCTAACTACCTCTTCCAACATCCCTTGTGCTTGTCTGTCTGATGGCAGCAGCAGTACCAGCAGAAGCAGCAGCAGCAGTGCCATCTTGATTATCATCATCTGAGAAAAAGTGTGTTAAATTATTTTAAGAACACGAAATTCACACTACACTTGCATTCAGAGACGAATGCTTGGTTAAGTACAGGGGTGCACTGCAAACCTGTCATTTCACCGGTGAAAAAGGTGAAAACGATGCAATCCCATAACCACAGATCATCAAATGAATGACCCATTTTGAATTTAGTTTGCACCCATGTACTGACATTAGCTAGCTAGGTAACAACACATTGTTTTTCCATTTAACACATTAGCAGCTACAGTAAAAGAGGCAGGCTGTGCAGGATCCCTGTCTGAAAATAAACAAGATGGTTCGACGTTATAGCCTAACATTAACTTTAGCTACTTTCCCCTCTAGAAGAAGCCCAAGCTTAATTATTTTTAGGTACACAATTCTCACACACTACAATTGCATTTACAGACAGATGCTAATAATAACAGATCGTTTTTTTCCCATGTAATATCAACTAGCTGCTAGCTAGCTAACGTTAGCTACTTCCCTTTAGTAGTTCCAGCTGCAACACTCTTTTCGAAATTATACATTTTTACATAATTTCTATTCCCATTACCTCTTTGATTGCTGACCACCTTTGGGGGGAAAAACATGGAAATCTTTTTTTGTGACATCCCAAAGACAGCTGAACAGCTTGCTGTTGTCAAGCCTGCCTGTTGTCAAGTGCGCCTGCTGCCTGACGCTGCTGTTTTGGGTGAATGACGTCACGTGCGACCTGGAGGTGTTAACCACTTGTGTGCCAAAGCCAAAGTAGTGGCTTTTTTAAAAAAAATAATAATTAATTGTTACTCAAACCTGTCCAAAAACACTGTTTTATCGAAGCGTCAACTTAAGATAACCGTAGTTTGAGGATGTGATCTTAAAAAAATAAAAAATAAAAAAAAAATAAATTTTTTTTTTTTCTTTTTTTGGAAAATTAATATTCGGGGCTAATTAAAAAACATCCTGGGCTTTAGCCCCGAATGTTTTAGCCTAGGGACGCCACTGCGGAGCAAACTGTGGGTGCAAGTGAAGTGCAATTCAAGGTGCTTTCAGCGGCCGCAGTTCATTCTTTGTGAATTCGGCCCTCAGAGCTTTCATGCATTTCCAAAAGTGGACCTTCTCTCAGTTGACCTACTGATGAAGATTTTAAGCAGGGTCGAGACATCGCTATCATCCATAAGGTCACTGTGAGCGTTCATAATGGCCAAATGTGTTAGTCTCTCCTGTGTCATGGTGTTGCGCAGCCAGGTTTTCAGCCTGCGCAAGGCTGAGAAAGAGCACTTGGATGCAGGGCAGGGCCAGACAGAGCTTAATGAGCTTCTCCACCTCCGACAGCATGGAGCGGGTTTGGGGCTGCAAGGTTTGCAGGATGGACACAACATCCTGGATGCCAAGGCTACTACTACTGTATGTAGTCAGGCAGGCTGCGTATCACATCAAAAGCATAGATTTATGCATTAATGATATGAAAGAGATAAATGTAAGACAGACAAATTGAGTTTAAATTCAGATTCTTTATTTTTTTTAAAGCGTAATGCAGTGGGTAGGGAGGCTGGGGTGCGGGGTTGCGGATGGGAGGGGGTGCGGCCGCAACCCCCGCACCCCTAGTTCCGACGTCTATGCCCGTCCAGGAGCTGATGATTTAGCAGACGTGGAGGACTCTAGTGACGAAAGTGTACAGGCTCTGGATGAGGTGGCAGCCTACATCGAATTTAAGACACCTAAGGACAAGGACGGCACTTTTGATGTTTTGTCTTGGTGGAAGGAGCATGCAAATCGTTTCCTAACCTTGCCCTGATTGCACAGAATGTGCTTGCCATCTCAGCATTGAGCGCAGCGAGTGAAAGAGACTTTTCTTATGTCATTCAAGAACGGAGAACCCAGCTTAATCCAGAGACAGTGGATGATATCCTTTTCTTGCACAGCAATCTCAGGCTCAAGAATTAAATGTCATCAGCAGCTGACAGGAAAGCATACTGTGAGTAGTGACTTGCTACCTGCTGTTTATTTGTGTTAGTTCATATGATTTCAACTTCATGTTCAACATTGTTTGTGTGGAGTGGACAATATATATATTTTCCTGCCAACTTTAAACTGTTTTTGTTTAATGTAGTGGCCTCATAGCTAAACCTGTCTGGCTGTCATATGATTTTCTTTTTTCCTTTATGCACAACGCACTTGTACGGACTGGTGCATGATTTTATTTTGAAGATTCAAAACGGAAGATGTTTATAGGCAATGCCGCTGCATTGATATTTTCTTGCAGTTATGAATCAGTCTGTTGGTAATCATCTCGTTACACCGGTTTATTGTTTTCCTCAAACAGTGTTAACAGCATTAACAATATGTCAGCAATCAGAACACAGACAGTTGTGATTGTTTCTACCAGATAACCTGATGCACTGCTCCTGCAGAGTGTTGTAGCCTGTATCATAAAGGTAAAAAATAAAGCAGTTAAAACTGAGTTAAGTGTGTCTGTGCTGTTTATGTAATGACGGGTAACGGGTCGGGTAACAGGTATCTTTATTGACGGGTGGGGTGGGTCTGGATTAGATTTAGATACAATCACGGGTAGCGGGTCAGGTAACGGGTCCCTTTATTGACGGGCGGGGCGGGTGCGGGTTAGTGGCTTTTTTTTAAAAAATAATAATTTATTGTTACTCAAACCTGTCCAAAAACACTGTTTTATCGAAGCATCAACATAAGACAACCGTAGTTTGAAGATGTGATGTTAAAACAAAAAAAAAAAAAAATACTTTTTTTTTTTTTTGGAAAATTAATATACGGGGCTAATTAGGCTAAAACGTCCCTAGGCTAAAACATTCGGGGCTAAAGCCCCGGATGTTTTAGCCTAGGGACGCCACTGGCCATGCCCGAGCGTGTCCAAACGTGCACCAGCGCGAGCCTTGCCTGAACCTCTTCTGTGAAGCCTTCTTCCGTACCTCCGGGCGCCGTACACCCGGGAGACTTGAGCCTGATAGGAGGGGCCGAATTTGAATGTGTGTTTACAAACAGCAACTGGAAAATCATCCAGACCCTACCTTTAACAGTGGTATGACATTGATGGGTTTGGCAACATGATCACCACAACGACAGACTAGCTGTTTTCTGTTGAGTCAGACATCAGCAGTGTAGTTTAGAGAGGGGATGTCATATATACTTGAGCTCCATACTTGAATCCTTCTTCCACACGTGCCATTTTGCATCCCAAGAAAGGCTGTTTCGGTACATGTACTTCATAACATAAGCTAGTAACACACCGATCCTCACAGTTAAGTGCAGGGTATTTTATGATCTTTAATTAAAGGAACAGTCTGATATTTTGAGTTTGCTTGTGTTGTCCGGAGTCAGATGAGTCTTGTCCAGTACAGACATAGGTCTATCCTATGTTTAGCCTAGCTTAATACACGCATGGGGAAACTGCTAGCCTAGCTCTGTTACAAATGGAAATAAATACAACTACCAAAAACTATATAGCTGTCTGATTTAGGGTCTACATGACGTAAGTAGTAGGAGGCTAGCATTTAGCATAGCATTTCACAAGTTCTGACCAAACCATACATTTTTGGAGTGTTTAAACCAGACAACGCACATTTCTGGGGCTCAGTAGTAACTGAACACTTAAGTCCAGACTGCAGGGCACTCCAAAAATGATGGTTTGTTCAGCTGAACACACTACAGGGCTGCTCTATCCTGCACAAAAGATGTTTATACCAGACGCTGCAAATATAAGGCCAGGAGAATTATTACATATCCCCACCACCCAGATTACTGCCTTTTCACCCTGCTGGGATCAGGAAAAAGGTACTGGCTACACCAGGCAGCACTAAATGGCTCAGGGAGAGCTTTTACCCTCAAGTCACAGTGATGACCCTGCCTTATCCAAAACACTGACATGTCTTTATTACTGTTCCATTTTACTTAAATCATATTTTTGAATTGCATCTGTGTCAGAGGCCACAGTCCAAATCACATTTTGCATACAGCCATGTGGCAAATAGGTTACATGTATAATGTGTCTGTACCATAAATCAAACTTAACACAACAATTTGGCACTTTAAGCAAACAAAAGTTTTGAAATACAGTCACAGAAACTTCATAACAGGTGATGAATTGTGATTGGATCATTCATGGCAAATCCAGGGTCAGGTTTCCACAATACATTGTTGATATGAATAACTTGCAATTTATAATTATGCTTCTTTCAAATCAGAACCATCACATTTGACTATTATGGAAATCAAGCTGAAACTACTGTATGCCATAATTACTGTATCATATATCTAGTACAAATATGCTTAAATAATTATTGGGCACCTGACAACTCATTACTGTGATTGGTTAAGAAATAGCTCCTAATAGTTCCTGAACAAATCATTTCTTGTTTTTACAATCCGATTTTTATTCACCACACTGAGTATGTATAAATATGGCCCTTTTGAAATGGAACTAAGTAGGAGTGGGTCCCCTACCTCTATTCTTCCTGGATCCTGGATCTGATACTTCAAGCTTTTTTCCTGACTCTGGGTAACAATACTGTCAACTGTCTCTTTAATGCTGGTGTACACATAATACTCATAGCTGGATTAGCCTGTTAGGGCCTCAGGGGAAAAAAATTAGATGTGGCTCCATATTAAGCCAACCACCACCTCCCTCCCTATTAGCTCATCATAGAACATTTTAATACACAAAGTTTTAATAAAGAATATATCCCATGTAAGCATAATATATACTGATATAGTACAGACAAAGATGGCCCTTGCCCCTTGGTCACTTCAGTTTATATTGTACATTAGTGGTGCGCATTACCAAACAAATTTATAATTAATCAGTTGCCAACATTGCCACACAGTGAAGCTGGGGCCTTTGGGGCTGCTTGTGGTCTGGTCCACTTTGCCTAGTTGGTAATCCACTCATGCATTCTGTACACTTGAATTTTGTTAAGGTTGCCCAATATTTGCCTTAAAAAACCACCAGTGCTTGTCTCGAAGATTTCAAACACTGTGCTTGTTGGTAGGGACAAAAAATATCAATCATACAACAGCAAAGACAAATGATCCATACAATGTTGAATAAATTTATAAGCCACGGTAAGCACCTGACATGTGAACCTTGGAATGACTGTGCAGACGTACATGCCAATGGTACTCTTCTTTTGGGGAATATTCCAGGATTTTCATTATTAACATGAAACATTTTGGCATGCATTTATTACAAAATAATTTCGACTTGGAAATACCTATCTCTGAAAACAACATCCTTTATATTTAATTACGCGGTGGTTCTAATCACATCTGCTCAACACAAACAGCACATTGTGCGCATGTTGATACATACAGCAACAACCTACCACACATACTGTTCACATCACCTCCTGTATCCTCTCATATACAATTTAAAAGTACAAGAATAAGAAAAATACTCTACATATGTTACATGTTATAAAATGTTCTCTTACATAAAAACTTCTTCCAGGTAATGAAAATCTCCCTTGTTTTATAATCTTGCATTTACATTTGTATTTTACAGTAACATACATTAAAATTAAAAAAAGTGACTGTTTTGTGTTTGTGTGTGTGTTTGTGTGTGTTTGTGTGTGTGTGTGTAGCTGTTTACATCAAACTTTGACGAAATATATCCAGGTCAGCATCAGTGGACTTAGACAATCTTTCAAGCACTCCTCATGCTTTCTGTTAAGTTCCTCTTGCTGTTTGCTCATAGCATTTTAACAAGCAGAACGTTCAACCAGACAGTGTCTATTACCTATTGACCCAAGTGGATATAACTTGGTTAAGTGTTTATGATTTGATTTCAAACTCAGTACCTCGTTTCAATTATATTAAGCAGCCAGAGTTTGGTTAGAGATGCTACATCCTTTGCCTTCATAGAAACTCCTTTCAGCGAATCTCAGTCTACGTTTGACATAGCAGGAGACAGTTACATCAGGCTGAGCTATGCACACACAGACCAGTACTGGGATCAAGAATTCCATTTGCCACAGGAAACTTCCCAACCAAACCTTAAATTTGCTGAATGACATACATTGTGCTTTCATGGACATTTGGGACGCAGGGTAAGGTTTGAGCATTATTCTTGATGATACTTTGATAATATTATGACTCTCATAGATCTCAGGAGTTTTCTGTATAAACATCTAATCAGAAATAACATGTCTCACAGACTGCTTCACTCCATCACAAGCTAAAGGTCGGTCTAAGAAATATGATGATCATCATCTCTTAAATGCTTGTCATCCTTTTTGCTGCCATTTTCCTGCCAGTATGTTTCATAAAGCTTCATATATCTACAAATACAGGACGATGATGTATACATCTTTAAACCCTCCTACAGAGCTCTGATTGGTCGTTTGTTTCTCCAACGAGAGGAAATAGCCATCAGACCCATTTAAATCAGCTAATTTGTTCCTAAAAGTGATCATGCTACTTTAAATTGAAAACTATTTACTTTAATAGTTGCTTTTAACCAGTCAAAAGTCTTTTAGGGTATTAAATGGCTTCTACCTCTGTAAGGTTTGCTTGTTGAATGCTTAAGACACAAAACAATAACAAGAAAAAACAAACAAACAAACAAAAAAAACCTTACAGGTTTCCTCTACCTTCTCCAGGGCACAGGGACTTTTCTGAGCAGGATTAGAGCACCATAGCACTGAAAGAGCATTCACACTGTGAGTGGACACTAAACACAAGCAGACTATGGAGCTCTGTATAATATATCTGTTAGGGTGTTATAATTTTTTATTTCTGATGAATTATATATGAAAACATACAACTATAGTTGTAAGCACGGCCTTGGCATCACCCAAGGCCAAGTTTACAAAGATGGTTTATGACCATTGTCCATCTTCTGTTGTACATCACATAGCTGATATTATTTTGTAAACTTGAGTGTAACATTGATTGTGTTTGACAGTCAGTCAAAAAATATTTTAGTGTGGTTGAAAGTAGGATGTGAGACAGAGGACTGTAAAGAAAGAGTGCCGTGTGTGACTGAGTAAGCCAACATTTCTGACTGTAAGGCAATACCCCCAGAGCTCCAACAACAACACCATGACCTCACACATGCATAAACACACACATACACACACAGATTTATATGAGTCAGATAAGACACTCACGCTACACTCAGATTGTTCAACCATGACAGGAATTTCAATATTCTGACCCCTGCTCCCTGATGGTTTATAGTGTGTTTGTGTGCATATCCATGTGTTTGTGTATATATGATTAAAGTTTGCTATACTAGGGAGGGAACTGATGTTTGCATTTTATTAATTCTTAAATTATGTGAAAATCATAAAATATAGTCACTGTGTACCTATACCTCACCTTCACCTTTCCATCTCATCTCCATCCTATTTTATGAATAACTGTTGATGACATTATTTGTAAAATCAGAATCATTATATATGATCCACAGTAATCATATTTGATAGACCCCTTTGATCTCACTTTAAAGTGGTTTAAACCAGTTGAATCTGTGTGTGCATCTCCACCTCATACTTTGGTTCATGTATGTGCAGCAATATAAAGTGCAAATGGGCTGGGTGAAGTGGAATATTGATCAAAGGATGTGGTGAATAAAAAATCCACTCTTCGCCTGTCACACTGCTCTTATAGCTGTAAAACAACTGAGCTCTAAACAGAACTCAAAACAGAGGCTGCAGATTTATCACCACCTGTATCCTGCTGCCTTCACATGTCTGCAACCATTTAATGACCTGAAGGAGAAACTTTTAATGCAGTATAAACCAGCTGTGGACAACACATACTGGAGCAATCACTCATATTTAATTCTACTGACGGTTCTGCTTTACCCACAATAAACTTTAATTTCACAGTTCAATTTAAATTCAACTACTGGTGGAAAAGCTTGTAGTAGCAGTAGGCCTAGTAGATAATTCCATTATTGCTGTGCAATTGTGAAAATCCCTCAATTGACAGCAGAGTGACTTTGCTCTGGAAACAGACGTGGGCAAAGAGAATTTCATTGTCAGGCAATCACCAAATTGTCGGAGCGCTGCTTGCAATGGTTGTTTAGTAAAATAGCGCCCTTAAGGATTCACTTTATATTGTGCCTTCATTGTCTTGTTATAATGAACACATCAGCTATCCTGCAGTTAAAACTGATGTTTGTGTTTGGTGTCGGTTTGTAGTTTTGTCGTACTTCATAAACAATGTTGGAATAAGGATGACTTAACAACACATCAAACTAACAATCTATGGCTTTTACAAGGGCATTAACAGTTATTTCTCAGTGTTGTTGCTCCCTATGAGTCTACATTGATCAGTTAATAATTTCCTTTGGGTAGCCACAAATTATTGTTTTGAACTTGACAATTCAGGTGTCTATATAACTCAGCCACAAGTGGCAGACATATAAAGTGTTACGAGTGTTGTTAAGCTGGTGGATTGTGTGCTGTCTCTATGCAGTGCAGTCACTGTTCCTAATCTTTCTGCACTTTAAGAAGAGAAACTATCAGTAAGTCAACAGGAGAAAGCTTTAAAAGAAGAAGTGCCACTGAGTCTGTTCAGGAGAAAAGCCATCTGGAGTTGTCATGGTTATAGCACTCTGGTTGTAACAGTCCATTTTCCTGACTTTTGCAGTGTAGCTGTCAGTGTTGTCATGGTTACAGTGTTAATATGTTGCCATCCTCTCTCATGCTCTCTTGACTGCTACTAGACGTGTGGGTGGGGTTTCCATTGTGACTGGACACCACCATGGAGCTGTCACTCAGGGATGCGCCAACGCTATTAGGCAATGAGACGCTCTGTGGGAGGGGCCTGACTTCAGCAGAGTTATGCGGCCTGTTGCTAGGTGAGTCTCTGTTGAGGTTAGTGTTGTTGCTGTTGGTTACCCGGTGGGATTCGTAGGGTGTCAGGCAGTCATTTTCCAGAATAAGGTCACCATCATCATCATCATCATCATCATCATCATCTTCATCACTGTCGCCCTCGGCAATGCTGTTGCTGTAGTAACAACAAACAATAGGGCAAGTAATGTTAACAGAGCAGTTTGTTGGGTTACATTTTTTTATTAATATCTGTTGTTTTGTTTCTGACACCTGATGAATAAGTCCAGTATTCACTCTATTTTAGCTCTGGTTTGGACTGTTTAACTGGTAAATGCTCCACTATGTTCACCATCTAGATCCCTTTTTCTACCAAAATGGGTGCATAGATGCAAGTTTTTAAACACAGGAAACCCATTGAAAATAGAAGATTGAGGGGCAACTTGTACCTCACCTGGTGGAGTGTGCACCCCATACAAGCCTTTGCCAAAACATAGGTTTGATTCCGATCGATTCTAATCAGATGTACTATCATTAAAGCAACTCAATGGAGATTTTGAGACCGCAAAAAACATATATCCAAGATCCTTGTGATGGAACATCAACTCAATAGGTTGGATGACACCGTCATTGCTTGAGATTCACTTGCACTGGCACTATGCAGTTTCAGGGTTCAGGTAGGAACCCAGACACAAAAAGGACTACAAAATTTGGCTGCTTTACAGCATAAGTCATATCCCCCTCCCCTCTTTAGAGTAGCGTAGCCAAACCCGAAGTGAACGAAGTTAGATGTGGTTGTCATGGCTGAAGCGAGAAATAAAACGAAGAGGGTGAAGGTGTTGTCCAAGGAGACAAAGAAAAGAAAACGGGAGAGCGATAAAACAAAAGCTCGAACAAGGATTATTATTGGCACGGCTTTCACACGCTGGCAAGAGCTGAAAGAGGAGGAGGAATGGCCGACCGATGGTGACCTGGCACTGTTACTGCTGTTACCCTCTACTTAGGAGACTCACTGTCTGCAGGTCAGCTGGCTCAGGTACATTTTAAGATAAAGTGTTAGCCTACATACAGACCCTCACCAAGGGCAGCCCCCCCACTCTGACATCTCTCCACTTTGTGCATGTATAGGTCCTGTTTGTGCATGTGTGTGTCTTTCAGACCTGTGTGTAATTGACAAGCAAGAGTGAAAACATTGAATTTCCCCTCAGGGGCATTAATAAAGTCAATAAATTAACTAAACTTTCATTTTAGTTCGTCTTCAACAGTTTGCTGTTAGCACCGTAAGCGCGATGTGCTTGTGTCGTCCATGATCGTAAATCATAATAGTGGTGAATGAGAGACTGTGGACAGAGCAGATTGAAATATGGCTTTCTACATGCTGAAAAAGAGGTAGAGCCTGCACACTTACTCCATGCCACAAACTTTAATGAACAACGTTTCGATCCTAGAGGGATCTTCATCAGGTCTGAATGTTGGAAAATGAAAACCACACCTCTATTTATAACATTGTGTGCAACAGGTGTGATTAATCATCCCAATATCATCTGGGGTTATTTTTTAAAAAACATTGACCAGAAAAAGCAAACATCAAATTCAATCCAGGGTAACAATTCAGTACAAGTACATCAAAAACACTCTAAGAATATATATATATATATACATTATAAAATTCCATCAGAAAAAAAGGGGGGACCTACAATTCAAAAAAACATTGAATAATATATCATGAGCAGCAATCATATTAAGTGGATTATATTCAATTAATCAGCGTGGGCCAATTAGTCTCTTCAACAGAATAACATTAAAGTTAGCAAATCATCACAGTTAAATCATCCAAAATACATCTTAGCAGCAAAACCTCATCTCATATATTTAAATAGACCTCATCAATGGAAAAAAATCAAATGATTAAGCTCACAGATCCTGAACACCAAAATTAGTGTTCACAGTCATGTCCCAGTAGGCTACTGGGACATGTAAACTGACGAAACCATATAGAACAATATAGGAATATATAAAAAATAAGAAAAATATGTTAATTCATCACTCAAGTCAGCCTAATGGATTTAAAGAAAGTGTGTGATCTCATATTCTTGATTCAAACCACTAGGGGAAAGAGTCTGGAGGATGAAGATATAAAAACTCTCTCTTTTCAATAGGAGGGTGTTCAGATCACCTCCTGTTCTTGGGGGATTTACGTGTTCGATGCCGATGTATCTCAAGGAGGCAATTGAATGATTTGCCTCCCTGAAATGCACCGCCACCAGGCTATGCTGGTCCTGAGTTCGAATACAGCTCCTGTGTTCAGCTACCCTAGTTTTTAAAGGTCTCTGAGTTTTGCCCACATATGCTAAACGACAAGGGCATTTTATGAGGTAAATAACATTTTTTTGTTGAGCAGGATATTGTACCTCTGATTTTTATTGTTTTCCCAGTTACCGGGTGGTTAAACGTGGTACATTTGTATGTAAAATTGCATTGAGTGCATGAACCACACCGATAATTGCCAGGAGGCAGTTCAAGGAAAGTTGGGTTTCTGGCTGGTCTCAGATCAGATTTTACCAGCATTTGTCTCAGATTGGGAGGGTGTTTATACACCACTCTAGGAGAATTTTTAAAGATGTTTTGGAGTAGTGGATCTAAACTTAAGATGTGCCAATGTTTGTTAATGATTTTTTCAAAATCCTTTCCTAGACATGAGTATGTTAAATAGCATCTAGGGTGGTTATTTGCTGAGGTTTTAACCTTTTTGACTAGGCATTCATCCTGGGTTAATCCGCTAAATCTATCTCGGGCGGTTTTTATCCAATTGTCCTGGTAGCCTCTTTTCTTAAATCTATGCTCTAGTTCATCAGCTCGTTTTTCATAGTCTGTTTGTTTTGTACAAATTCTCCGGATACGACTAAACTGACTGATGGGGAGGCTTTTTTTCAGATGGGTTGGGTGGAAAGATTGGCCATGTAAAAAAGAACATTTATCTGTTTCTTTTCTATACAGGTCTGTTACCAAGTTTGTGGCATGGAGTAAGTGTGCAGGCTCTACCTCTTTTTCATTCATGTTTTGTGCTGGCCTTGCACCTTTTTCGATGTGCGTATAACTACCCTCTCGCACCCTTTCTACATGCTGATCACATGTATTGATAAAGTATTGGCTTGGCTGGCAGAGGTTTTACCGCACTTACTAACAGTAACAAGCGTAGTTGTTGTCAACTAGAGTAATCTTGAAGTTATATTCCCTTCATCTGCACCGCGGCCTCTCTGCTGTTGTCTGACTTCACTCTGTTGAGTTTGTGTGTGTGTGTGTGTGTGTGCATGTGCGCTGTGAGGAGGAGGTCAGCCCTGACATGCAGAGAACAACTCATTTCTGAGTTTTGAAAAATAATAAATAAATTAAAGCTGCAAGCAGCGATGAATGGGCCCTCGCAGTCCACGCGCGTCGGGGCATGCTGCCGTCGGGGGCGTGCACCTAGAAGTCTTGTCAGCTGTAATAAATAAAAAAATAAACGTTATCTCTTACTTACATTTCCAGTATACAGGTAGGCACCCAACCCACGTATGTATTTTTCCAAAAAGTAGAAGCTAAATACATGCCCAATAGTTCAAGGTCTTCTGACTCTTTAAAAGTTGACATGGTGTCTGTAGCTCAAAGTATGAGGGACAAGAAGAGGTTGAAAGTCGATGAGTTTTGAAGAGGATTTGAAGATTTTCCAATTTACTTCCATTCACACTAATTAGACTGCCACCAGAGCGCCACCTATTGGCCGATTTGCACCGAATTTTGCACAAACCCTCATCGGGCCATGGAACACAAT